TTTCATATGAGTCACCCGTAATAACTTTTGCAGCTCAGTTTTGGAGTTTCTGAAGATTGCCTCTTAAAGATTCGCCACAGTTACCCCAAATCATCGAGCAGTAATCAAAGTGTGGTTGGACTAAAGCTCGATAAAGATGTTTAAGAGTTTCCGTTGAAACGTATGGCTGACACGAGTACACGACGCAATTATCGGTCAATCGCTAACAAGTATCCTCTTACTGGCCAGAAATATGATCTTGCGATGCACTTTGGGTGCATAAACCTTATTAACGTTTGCATTTCTTTGATCATTGTCAACTTCTTCAATCAAATCAAGCCATTTTTCATCATCTTGCAAGCATACAATAAAAGAGTTCACTGAAAGTACAATTGGTTCACGAGAAGGGGTAGATAAGATCATAAGAAATAAATTGTAGTGCATACTTTTGATCCATTGATATTCTTTTTGTGCATGTACTATTAATAAATAAGTAATTTTTAAACTTTTAAAACAAATTTTAAATATGCACTATCCATAAAGAAGGATCGAATGAAACATTAAGGTATTTGGCAGTTCATTTCTCAATGAATGTATTTTATTCTTAACAAACACCCAAAACGTACTATTAAAGTTATTTAGAAAATACAACAACTTTGAAGGGCTCTACTTTTTAAAGCAGGCAACTAACCATCACCAAATTTTGCTTGAAAGTAGAATAGCATGTGGATATGATGTGAAATAAAAATTACTGATGTGTCTGTATGGCTTCCATAAACATTTTTCCAATAAAGATGATGTATATTTCGTGTCTTCAGAAACACATAATTAGACTTTTTGCTGTCCAATAACACATTACTGGCTGCAGATACAAAGATGAAAGTGCAATATTTGAAATCTCCACATACAAATACATCTTTGTGCAAATTTTGATGGATATACCATGTACGGGTATCAAGTTACAGGTCAGAATGTAAAATAGGGTAAAGGAGAATTTAGCACTGGCCACGCCCACTTTTTTGTTTCTCAGGGCATATTTCGAATTGCGATATCTCAAAAACTATTGCAGCTACGATGCTCAAATTTTGAACTTAAACTATTCCCACACAATGTTAACTGCCTGCGAAATATAAAGAAATTTGGAGAGGGTGGGTGTCAAATCAGGGGTTTTTTTGTGTTGAAATGGCATGGAATTACTCGTCAGCTTTCTAATACCACGTCCATTAACAGAAAAAGCCCAACCATAACAAAGAACTGGCGATTAACCATTAAATTTTGGTTAATTTTTATTAACAATTTAATCAAAATTCAGTAGTTAGTTGCTGGTCCTTGACTGTCTTTGTCATGGTTGAGGTTGGGGGTAAATCGAAAATAAAAAATCGGACTCAAAATGAAGGAGGCTTCGGCTTTTTGTTGTTAGGGTCGCCCCCTAACAACAACGACAACGACAACAACGACGACGACGACGACGACGACGACGACGACAACGACGACGACGACGACAACAACAAGATTAGCGGCGATTGGGGACCAGTTACTGGTAAAAAAATACGTGATTGCTATTAACTTCGCATCAGCTGTAGTTGATTTTAATTTCTTTTCATTCAACCACTTCCTGTTTGTTTGCACAGACTTCTAGCAATGAATTATGACGATAGTAACGAACACTATAAGTTCATTCTTGCTTCAGGCTAAGTGTAACATATTGGACCGATTTCCATCTCTGGGTTGTGATGTGCATGGCAGTTGAGTTGGAAGCGATTCACCCTAGACGGAAGACCATACTTTGTAATCGATTAGGTTGTCTCTTGACCTAAAAGCGTCTCCATCCACAAACTACTGTATTTCTAACTTCATGGATCATGCACCTGTCTGCCTTTGTCAGCAAACTAATTATTGACCTGCTTTCACTTTCTAGTTATTGTCTTATCCACACTCGAGATTCTGAATTGAGAAAGATCTTGGAAGCAAAAAACAAGAAAAAGAAAAGAAAACTTAGTGGACAACAGGATGAGCATGCTAGACCACCAACATCAAAACCAAATCCAGGTCGCCCAGGCGTAAGAACTTATACAAAAAGACCAAAAGTAATCGACCTAGGTAGTGTATTCAATAGTAAAGTCATTAATCATAGACATATGCCTTTTATATTATTTTATATTACCCAGAAATGGTGGCAATGATAGAGAAAACACAGTGAGAAATCGCTCGAATCCTCCCATATGGTCTTTTATAAGTCACCAAGATTGTCACCTAGTTCCCTCGCCTTGCATATCTCTAATAAAATTTGAGTTTCAATTTCACATAAATACTGTGTTTCAATGGATTTAGTACACACGTGCCAAAGGTGATATCGCTTTTTAGCATATACTGGGGAGGTGGATAATGCTTTTCACGCAATTTGATTGGTTGCTCAGCTCCGGATATCATTGCACTATTCACCTCCGGATAAAAACAAAATGGCGTTCCATTTCCTTCCGGTTTATACAGACTATTACGAGAGCTGAAATACAGATTATTTTAAAACTATTTTCCGAATTTTCGTCGTTTTTTTGGTCATTTTTGTTTTGATGTGGTATATGCTAAGACAATTATTCACCTCGGTGTCTGTGAGTAATGCAAGGATATTCATCTCAACGCTTCGCGTTTTAGTGAATATATGTTATTCACTTCCACTTCGGTGAATAATTGTTAATTATTCTACAGTACATATACCATTGAAATGAATATAACATATACTGTACTGTATCACTGATTCATAAGCAAATAATTTGTTGCGAGTTTGATATATTGGACTTTTCCCATGAGTATGATTTCCCATGGGTTTGATATATTGGGCTTTTCCCATGTTCTTACTTCAGTTGTTTGTATTTTTAATAGTTAAGTGTTGTGGTGACCACAACAAATTTTATGGTACGAATTTATTATTTAGGTGCGGAATACAGACGAGACGATGTTTTAAGAGTCGAGAGTTCATGGCATGGTGATTATGAAAGTGATTCTGAATCGCTCGATAATGATGTGGATGATCCATTAAGGTCAGGAATTACACCTGGGGCCGGTTGTTCGAAAGGGCGTCAACGTCGCCAACCACCGTTTAACTCGCTATCCGCCGGATAAAATTTAAACGTTTGATAATTTGCGTTGCACAAAGCCCGTTTAGCGCTATCCACCGGTTAAATTTCGGCTATCCGACGGATAAAGTTTATAAACAGTCTCGTGAGACCGTTTAAATCGCTATCCGGCGGATAAAATCGAGGTTTGAAGACAAAACAATGGGTATTTCGGATGAAAAAGGGTGGGATAGAAATGCAAAAATCCTGTTGAGTATAGTTACCTTTTTAAATCCAATGACTTTGGAAAGCCAAACAATATACAAATATTAGACAACAAGACGCTGAAATTTTGTTCGCTCGCTTCATTGCTTTGATCAGCCAATCAAAACTTGGGGTAAAATGTTCTTAAAATGTTTCAAAAAATAAAAACTGAAAAAATACAACACAACTCACAGTTATGGCTATTGCCTTCGGCTTTTAGCATAAAGAAGCAAGAAATCTTTAAAGAAATATGAATAAGGAAATGAAAAACTCAGTATTATGTGAAAATGAGAAGTTTGATATACAGTAGTATTGCAAAGAATGGACGAGAAAACTCCAAATATGAATAACAACAAACTTTATTATACATTTAGTATGATTCTCGTTCCTGATTGGTCAGAGAGCACCGGATAATTAACAATTAGACAGCGAAGCCGAGTTGACTATTCGCTCAGAGACAACGAGGCTGAGTTGTCTAATTGTTTTAGTATAAACCACATAAAGAAAACGGAATTTTTCACTTGATTTAAATGTAAAATAATAACTTTTTAACGAAATGAGCTTTTAAATGGCTTCTTTTGGCGACATTTCGCCTCGGCTTTGCCTTTGTTGACAACTACTCAGTGTTGCGAACTCCCAAGAATGACTTGAAAAATACAACTTGTCAGTTTTAAAAAACTTTAAAAAACATGTCGTAAAACAGTGTAATAGTAGGAGACCGTTATTCAAACAAAGTTTGGTTAATTAAAAGAAGGAAACAAGGCTTAAACAGTCCAGAATTTTGAACACAAAATGGCTTCCCGAATTGTTACTAACTTAGTAAATAAACTTTACGTTAAAAAGCCGAATAGAAATGCACACACAAAAGAATCCGATTATCCGAATGTCGTTGCATGAAATCTTTAAAATATCTGGAACATAAAGAGGCAAACCATTTCCATAATCTAGTATACATAGACAATAGTTTAGATAATTAGATTAAAATTTAATTGAAAACTGACTCGACTTAAAAAGGTTCGAAAAGGCGAAAAACAAACTCGGCCAAAATGTCAACATCTAAACGAAAAAAACTCTTTAAAATGATAGCTAAATACATGAACTCGTACTTAAAACAAGCACACACTAAAGAGCTCAAGGTTGAGAAAATAGTGGTAAATAGGTACAAAGTATTGTTGAATTTCAACGCTTCTGCTCTGAATATTAACAAACATTGTGCATATATTTTAAAAAATCGCTTGTCACTTTCATGTTCAAAACGACCAAAGTTGAGAAAACTTTAAAATTTTACCGCATGTGTCAGCAGTTTCCAAGAGTCTTTGTTTGTGTGTAATCCAGAACCAAAATTAGGCCATTTTGAGAAGCTTTTTCCCTTTTATGCAGCTTTTAATACTTAACAACGGCCATTGACTCTCGCGCCCTTAGCCGCTTGTTGCTACTAATAGGCTATCACTAATAGCCTACTAGTAGCGTAGCCAATCAGAACGCACGATACATGATAGCCTACTAGTAGGTTTATACTAATTCTCAATATCCGCTACTTATTATATGGCAAGCATTTGTTTTGATGAATCGTGCAATTTGATTGGCTGCTGACGAGGCAGGATTTTCCCGTATTGCCCACGGGCAATACGCAATTTTTATTGCCCTGCGACGAGAGCAGAGTTTCAAACGGCAAAAAGAGTCTAAAAGTCTTTCAAACTATTCAAAACGAAGAAAAATAAACCTAAACTAAAGAAAGGAGCACCTTCTGTGGTTAAAGAACTTTCTCAATATGTTTTTGTTAGCGAAAGTCGAAATTACAAGGTAAATTTTACAATGTTTATAACTATTAAACCAGTCAGGAATAGCTGTGTTTTGACTTTGTGAAGAGCTGCAAATTTTATTTGCAGATAGCCGAGGAATTTGACACCATCCTAAATAAAAACTACAACTAAATCAGCCACAGATTTATATTTTTTTCCTGAAAATTTCTGTTTTTGCTCGATAAAAAGAGACATATTTATGAGATGAAGCGAACTAAAAACGTACTTGTCCATACTGTTTATTAATTTTATTGTTTTCATATTTGTAATTGTCTTTGTCTTTGATTAAATGACGAAATACCTCGTTTTTTTCTTGAAATACTATCCAAACTGTGTTACTATTGTATATAAAAAGAGCTGTGGAGTAGTTTTACTAACCAAGAGAACATTTTTTACAATTGTTCTTTTTTGCAAATGTTTCGGACTTTGTACTTTGCCCTCGCGTGACTTTTTTTTCCATTTTTTACAAACGTACAATGCCATATAATAAAAAACTTACTGACCTCAACCGTTCGGGCAGTACGGGAAAATATCCAACCTCGGTCTTGCTGTATTGACCTCGCTATCGCTGGGTCAATACAGCAAGACCTCGGTTGGTTATTTTCCCGTACTGCCCTCACTCTCGGTCAGTAAGTTATTATTATTACGTAATTTCAGCTGCTGACGTACTCAGCGTCCAATAATAGTTTTTTTGGATCGAACTTACATCCCAAAAAAATATTGGACGCTGTCGTGCCCAAGCCCCGGTGCGGCCAACAACTCAAGCCCAAAAGCGCGCGAAAATAAAATAAACAAAATGGCTCACAGTAGATTTGCTTTTGAAACATTAATAAACTTCATTAATCGTTTTATACGTTTCTGATGTCTTTAAATGTATAATAAAACAATTAGGGACCGGTCATTATTTATGGCAGGGGTGGGGGCCGAAGAGAAAATGGTGGGGTAACTGAAAAAAATAGTTGCTTTAGGTGGGGTGGCCAAAAAATCCTTGCATGCAGAGGTGGGGTAAAAAAAAAATAACCTTACTTTAATCACACACAATACAATATATACTACTATCAGAGTTAATATGTGATTATTCTAATTTTTTAATAAAATATTATTGCTTTCCAAAATGTTGACAGAAACACCCCCCTCAACCCACCCGTAAAGGGTCATTTTTATATTCATTTACACACAAAATCTCAAAGACTCCAATTACCAGACAAAATATATACTGCCTATATATAGGGGCTGTTTATATGGTGCAACTGCAAGCCAACCCCAGGGTACCCAAGCTAGCCCAGTTTTGGCAAGATCCTGCCTTTGTTGTTATTTCTTACTAAAGTTCACCTTGTGTATATATGGGTAAAGAGCGGGCCCAGCTATAGCTAAGCGAGATCCCGCCCCTTTAGCCTGAGATCTTGCTTCAGGAAAAGTGACCTTAAGTCTGTAGCCCCTAACCCCGGGCATCCAGCCTCACCCCCATATAAACATCCTCTTATTACATATCTCAAAAAGTATATGTACAGTCTATTAAATTTTCAGGATTTAATTTTTGGGCATCTACACTTGATACTGCATAACTAATATTTATATCCAGTATGTGCTTGTAAAAACCATGTGGACAATTCAGGTAGCAAATCATGAAATATGCCCCATGCCCCTTGTGAATCTGGAGAATCATTCCAATGGCTAGTTCACAATATGTTCAACTCTAGCCTTTGGCAACTAGCTGTTTTTCTTTACTAGCAGATCATGTATACATGGATAAAATAAGAGAAATCTATTTACCCGTTTTACAGATTAATTTAATTGTTTATATAATCATACTTGGAATTCGGATGAATATCTTTATCTTCACACTGTATAACAGCAACTTTTTCTCATTAATTTACAGTAACTTTCTAAATTCAGATATTCTCACATGGGACAAATACTTTAGTATCGTTGTATTGTTTACGAATTAAAATATTAAATTGATTTCATAAACTTCAAGAATTCCTTGGGAATTCTTAAGGAATTCCTTTAAAATTCCGTGATAATACATGTGATTGTCTATAGTAAGGAAATATTAAAGGAATTTCAGAGGAAATTTTAGAATTTAGATAGTTGCAATCATGGGTGAGCACATATTTTGTGAAACTGTTTCAAAATAAAATTGCATTTTAATTAATAAAGAAATGCAAGAATGTGAAAGAAACCAAATTATATACAGTGAAACTTTAAAGTGGGAAAGAGATAGGGTGGTGAAATACGGTTAGTGTTCTAAAATATTGAAGCATATGGTTAATATATGTTTATGGGACTAGCATTTGCACTATCTCGTGAAAAGGGAATATAGCGTTGAATACAAACTATAAAAACCCATTCATATTTCAATTTTACAAGTAGACAAATTTTAAGCCTTCAGATAACTATAATTCTTTATATAGTACCTTGCTATTGTAGGGGTAACCCATAATATAAAGGCATGACTGTTAGTGTGCTTTAATTACTCCACAAGAAATAAGGGGCAAGGGATATTGGTAAACAAGTATTACCAATCAATCCTATTCCCTTTTAATTATAATGTCCACTGTGGTCAAAGCACCCTATAATAATTATTATTTACTCTCTAACAGCAGATGATCTTACTCATCAAGGGCAATTTTGTACCTTGATGAGTAATACGCATACAAAATACTAAACTGTTTCATTACATATTTTATGTCTGAACCTTTGACATTGCAACAAAATAGGTTTGGGTGGGGTAAAAAAATTTTCTGGCATTCCACCGGTGGGGTAGCTAGAAATTTTGTTTCGAACAAGGTGGGGTAATGTTTTTTTCCGGCTTCATTATACTTTCTCTTCGGCCCCCACCCCTGCCATAAATAATGACCGGTCCCTTACTCAACAGTTGACATTGGCAAGAATTATACTTGATGTGTATGGATTGAGAAGTGACAACATGAGGATATGGCGTCCAAAACGTTATGCATATCTTGATTATATGGGTGATAAAGATGATTGTCAAGCTATCATTGTGACATCCCAGTTTATATATCAATATACTCGGCAGTGCTGTAGAAGTGGGGGGTCGCTTGGGGGCTGAGCCCCTCTTCTTGAAGCTCTGGGGGGGGGGGCTGAGCCCCCTCCCTTCTACTTTAGAAAATCGAGAATTAATTAAGTTTCGACTATCTATAACAACATAGTTTCATAACCACATCAGTGTTTCCACTCCCAAAAAAATAATTTCCTTCTCCATAACCCGAAATTTCCTTTTTTTCCACAAAATTTCCTTCCAAAAATCTCTAAATATCCTTCCATTTTTCCTTCAAAATTTTTATCAAAATTGACAGATTTACCTGGTAATTAACATCTAAACTCTAGTATTGAAACACATTATATTAATTTATAGCAGATAACTTTGTATTTTGCCGGTTAAAATCAGCTCATATTCACCCCCGCGGGGGACAAAAAGCATAATAATTGGGGCTACTTGCTGTGGGTGCGAAAAGAGATTCCATAACTGTTTCTTGCATCTCTGCCACGCTAAGCAGCCCCCCCCCCCCAAGTAGAGTCTGAAAAATAATACCCTGGGTACGAGGTTTGGTTGTTATTTCAATATAGCGATTCTGGGGTTCTGTTGCCAACTTTGGAAAAAAAAACCATCTGTGAGATGTCGCTTTGGGGGGCCCACGAGGCGCCACCATGGTTGGCGCCGAGCGAAAAATTTTAAAAATATGGAGTCTCTAGATCGTTGGAAATGGCATTTTCAGAGTCTTTTTTTGCATAAAATTGTATGAAAATTGCCTTATTCTTAGAAATTATGAGATAAAATAGATTTCCTTCTCATTTCCCTCCTTATAACAATATTTCCTCCCAATTTCCTTCCAAATGCTATTTCCTTCCAAATTTCCTTCCAAAGGCCCAAATTTCCTTCTGGACGGAAATTTCCTTCCAAATGGAAACGCTGAATCACATGCTTGCAGAAAAGAAATTTTTTCGTCTTGGCAAACTTCAAGAGGAGTTCCAAGAGCATGCACCTACAGAAAATATAATGTTGTAATCTAGGCTCTCTAAAAGGGCATTCTCGTGTTGAAAGCAATATTTTACGCATTCGCTAAGCTTATTCATAGTGACACAAACCTACAGTTGACGCCAACATTTCTTCGTCCATTATGTTTCATGCCAAGACATGTCAGAGTTTGTCATACAAACTTAAATTGTGGTTTTGAAAACTTTGGGTTTGGAAAAGTCATGTGGTACCAGCAAAATGTTAGTACGCAGATAGCAAGAGTTCCGTGTACCTACGTGGTACTTGCATGGTTGAAAACAAAGAAGTACCAGACCGTAATATTGACGTACTTTCGGTACGTAAGTACGTGAATTATCGCACTCTGTCATCCTTATCCCTCCCTATCCTCATCTTTACTGTTATTGCTGTTATAATTATTAGTACCATAACTTTGCTTGGTTGTAGGGAATTATCAAAATCTTCATTTTTTTGTTATTTCACCTTTTAGAACAAAAAGCCAACTTCGTTCAAAGAATGGTAAAGCGTGTTAAATCTGTTGTTATGATTGCTTTGAAAAACAAAGATGACGATGAACCAACTAACACAAGTACGGATTGGTTTGTTTGAATCTTATATAATGACTAACTATCATGTGATTTCCGCGATTATGCAACGCAGCAACCTCCCAAGCCAGAAAGACCCTGGCTTGCGAGGTTGGCAACGCAGACGTCAAACTCAACACGAAATCAAGGTCCATATCTTAATTAGCGCAGCCTTATATCACCTATGTATAATTTATATTTCATCCGTTTTCCAAGTGCCTGATGCAGCTATGGTAGAAGGCAGCTCGAACCTTGGAAGGCCAAATGAAACCTCAAGTGAAGCTTCAAGTTCAGGTAATTGTGTGGTTACGGTTAGACTTTAACTATACATTAGTTTGCAATTTACGTTTCCGATTTTAGAATACCATATACAGGGTGTACAAAAAAAACTGAACAGATATGAATTTGCTCTCAATTTTGCAAAACAGCTATTAGTATCCAGTTTTTGATGTATAGCTTCCTTGGGTACTTATGATGTAGAATAATGAAAAAAATTTCTCGAACTCAAATTTTTTGAACGACGAGGGTGTGTCTTCTCCAACAAATTAAAAATGGCTTGCGCACGAAATTTAAAAGCTTTAATCATATTTTAAGTTAATAGATGGAAAATTTGGTGGGTTGTTAATTACTGTATTTTGTTTAAGCCCTTTAACTATTCACACAAACTTGCATTTTTTCTTAAAAAATCCGCTATTTGCATGCTAATTAATGCCTTTGCCTAATTTGCATATGTCAGCAATATGCAAATTAGGTGAAGGTATTAATTGAGGATGCGAAACTATTTTTTTTAGAGAAAAGTGAATAGTTAAAGGACTTAAGCTGAAGCAAATTGTCTGAAATTTTGTACAGTAATTAAAAACCCAACAAAGTTTCCATCTATCAACTCAAAATATGATTAAAGCTTTTAAATTTCGTGCGCAAGCCATTTTTAGTTTGTTGGAAAAGACACCCCCCCCCCCCCCCAAAATTTGAGTTCGAGAAGTTTTTTTTTATTATTCTACATTATAAGTATACCCAAAGAAACTATATATATCAAAAAATCGGATACCAATAGCTGCTTTACGAAATTGAGAGCAATTTCAAATCTGTTCTGGTTTTTTTTATGCACCCTGTAGTTACAGGGTGTCCCGAAAAAAGTATATTTTTTGAAAACAAGCCTTTTTTTTATTTTGAATGCCTTATTACTATGCTGAACTCATGGGTGTGTACATTTTAACTTTAATTTGGTTTTGTCCAACATATGAGTTATGTGCTGAACAAAGGGTGTGACTAATTTGTAATTGACAATTTTGATGCAGCTATGCTCTTTAATTCATACGATTAGAAGCTATTTTAAATTCGCAGGAGTGGAAAAGCTTGTACTGAACAAGAATAGAGTTATTTATTAAGGTCTCGTTTTTCATTACACCGATTTTAGAAGACCATATATTTCTGTGTACACTTTGTAAGTACCGTGTGTGTTTTCATCAGTATTTTTTGCAGTATTTTTATTGAATATAATTCATAAAAGCTAGTTTGAAAGCTCGCGCGTGCTTTCAAAACCTTCCCAAGCTATGAGACTAGATAAAAGAGACAAATACCACGCATTTTTGGGCTGCCTATGCGTTTACACACAACGATTAATCGGGACGATTTCATGTTTTGCCGAATGTTAATGTGTAATGACGAATGTTGTCAGCTGACGATGTCGTCAGATGACGTTGACAGCATATTTTTCAAATATAATCTTGAACTTTCTTTGCCAGGGTAGGCAGCGCCAAATTTAGGATACAAGCTTTCGTTGGTAGGGATGCAACTACCTGAAAATATATAAGGAGAATTTCGACGTTTTCAGCGAAGGTCCTTCGTCTGGAGTTATTAGCGGGGGTCGGGAAAATTACATGAGCTTTTATACTAAGGCCTGTTTCAAACGTCGCATTTCGCATGTGTCGAATTCAATTGCTTGAATTATGTGCATGCAAAATTCGACGTCTGAAACGATTAAATGCGACGTTTTTAATTACGGTCGACCTTAACTTTAAATTCGACCCGACCGGTCGCATAATGCGAGCTAACTGCGAGCTAAGTGCGAGCTAAATGCGACCTGTTTCAGACGTCGCATTTTGCATGTGTCGAATTCAATTCTGCTAGGGTGGGGCTCGCGGAAAAAGTCTGGAACGAGGTAAAAGGAGGACGGCATGTAGTGTTAATGGATCAAATTTCGCGTGTAGGACATAGAATGGTAATAATTCCATGGGGTTTTTTTGGTGTGTTTGTGTGAAAAATAGTCAATAGCCTGATGTGAGTTTACATACAAGCGAAAATAAAGTCGCGAAAAAGAACATTTATACGGGACTACATAGTATTTTTTTCGTGCTTTAAATAAGACGAGCGACGGCTTATTTCGCTGGTATAGTCGTATAAATGGCCCTACTGACATACTGTGTTTATTTTTGAGCGAAACTTCGCTCTTGTTGTTTACGTTAAACCACAGCTAGGTTAAAAATAAATAATTAATAATTAAAACTATCAAAGGGGCGTGTCTACACTCTACAACACTTACAATTTCGAATTAAATGCATGCAAAATGCGACATTTGAATCAAACGTCGAATTGCATTGAATTCGCTCGAATGAAATGCGAATTGTATTCGACACATGCAAAATTCGACGTTTGAACCAGGCCTAAGAATATAAAAGCGATCACGTGACAAAAAATAAACCAATCAGATGGATTTAGTTAAAACAAAGTATAAACAAAAAAATGTAAATCACATTACAGAATATATTAATTCAATTATACCGCAGAAAACACAGCAAATGCGACAAAATATATGAAACAATTAGGGAACAAGGTAAGAATTAAAAGTACTATCAATGTCTGCTTTAGATAGGTAAAGACAGATAGAATTACACATTGGAAAAACGTTCATTAATCAAATGTCTTCCAGTTTCTCCAATATAAAGCATGCCACATCGTCATCGGGTCCTACTAAATACTGCCCGGGGACGCCCGGAAGCGCGTGAGAACGCCCGGGGATATACAAGATAGCATAAATCAGTGCACGATCCTTTTTGAGTCTCTATGAGGCATTATATTAATGAAAAATAGTATTATACTATCTTGTATATCCCCGTGCGTTCCGTCACGCACTCCCGGGCGCTCTGGGCAGTATTTAGTAGGACCGATTTGGAGAGTACCGAATTGAGACGTTCGCGAGTCATGAGACATCCGACATCCGAAAATCGAGATTGTTCGCATTGTCGACCATACATAACTCGGTCAAAACCTGCAAGAATAGGTGTGCCAAAAAGTCAATATAAAACAATATAAAAGCCGTCCTTTATCCCTGACACAGGGCATACTTCGAAACTCGGACTCTAAGAAAATCCGGACTCGAAAGAAACGCCGACCACAACTCGAAAAAAATCCGGACTCGTGTTTAAAAAAGCCGGACTTGACTTTTGAAAACCCGGACTCGAAATAGAAAAAACCGGATTCAAAACAAGGACTCTGTGTACGAGAATGCAAAGGTTTTTTGGAAAGGTTTAATAATAGTTAACATGATAAACGATGATTTCTTTATAACAATAATTCTGTATATACACGCGTAAAAACGCACAGCTTGTAACAAACCTGCAAACAAGTTGTCACAAGTCTGTTCACAAGCTGTCAACAAGTTGTGTTCGCACTGCTTGTTCCCAGTTTGTTGTAACAAGTTTGGAACAAGCTGTTAACAACTTGTAACAAGCTTGATGGCATTATCAGCCTTGTTACAAGACTGTGCTAACAAGTTTGTTACAGCCATGATATAACAAGGATGTTACAAGCATAGAGATTATAAATAACACATATTGTTATTTATAATCTCTATGGTTACAAGGTTGTCAACACAAGGTTGTAACAATCTTGTTATATCAAGCATGTAACGGACTTGTCAGAACAACCTTGCAACAAGTCTGATAATTTCGACACGGTTGTTACAAGTTGTCAACAAGTTGTTCCAAACTTGTTGTTCCAAACTTGTTGACGGCTTGTTGGCAGACTTGTTACAAGATGTGAGATTTTTACGTGTGTGTCTTTAAATATATTTCTTGACCCCCCACGTGACGTCACATGCACTCCGAGAATACAACGATGAATCGTCGTTGTTAATTGTATTAAAACTTTGTGCAACGAGTTGCCTTTGTAATTTGTATCATCATGTTTTGTGAAGGCAATGATCTTATAGCACCACCACCAGAACTCAATATCACACTCCCGACAGCGAGAGATTTTGATAGTGAACCATATGACTGTTCAAGCAATGAGATTCAGTCACAACTACCAACAGATATTCTGCTAATAACAACAAATGATCATGAATTCAATGCTTGCTATTCGTATATGAAACATGTTCAACGAGGTTATTCTACGAAACTGGGAATGGTAGATTTTGGTCGATTTGGTGATCAGAATAACCCGAATGTGAGAGTTGCATTGATGAAGTATTGGCAGGGACCGACTGACGCTGTGATAGCAGTGAGAAATGCCGCTGAAATTTTAAATCCAAAAGTAGTCCTCTTTGTCGGGATCTGTGCAAGCATGGAACGGGCGAAGGCAAAACTTGGCGATGTCGTGATTTCTGCCAAACTGGCGACTTATGATCATAAGAAATTCAAGGCAGATGGTACAGTTGAGTATCGCGGGACTAAACCGAACGTTAGTAAAAATATGGCTCGTTTTATCCTCAATGCAGCTGATGGTTGGAAACCACCATTAAAAGACCCGAAAAGTTTAGATGTTAAAGTTCACCATGACGCTGTGATGTTAAGTGGCTCGGATTTAGTCAATAATCGTGAAAGACGACAAGAGTTACTGGATTCGTTCCCGGACGCACTTGGTCTTGAAATGGAGGGTGCAGGTAGGAACTTCCCGCATCATTCAAGCCTTCCACACCAATTAGGCTTCGAACGATGTATCAATCTGTCAACCTGTTAAAACAAATTCCAGAGGAGGAGGGACCTTGAAGGAAAATGACAATATAAAATTTTTATTTTCTCATTTGAAATAACTTTTGTAACTATATATTAACTTCTCTTACCGATTGTTCATATCTTGCTTAGTTCTTGAAATATTTTCGCTTGAAGTAATGAGATGTCCGCCATTTTGGATAAATTTTTGGTCTCATTAACGATAGTTTTGGTTACATCACAGCGGAAGAAGTTATTTCGCTGACCTCAGAATGACATTTCGTCAAAATTTTTTCTTCAAGATTGGTTTAGAAACAAACTTGGAGTAGGGTTAGGTTAGGGTTAGGTCAGGGAACTTGACCTAACCCTACTCCAAGTTTGTACTCAAGGGTTAGAGTTGGTGTTTGGAATAGGGTTAGGGTTAGTGTTAGTAAAACCGTTGCTTTGTTACGTTTTGTCACTCTGAGACCAACGAAATAATCTCTTCCTGTCACAACAGGGATCAACTACATCAAAGTATTCGTTGCTAACCAAATATTGATTGGTAGATGTTTTAAAGGTTTTGAGTGATCTTGATATTGCGAAGGGCAGACGGAGTATAGTTTTGAGTGCAAAATGATTAGTGGTTGTCTAGATAAAAATATCGCGTGACCCCTGTTGTGACGTGACATGCATATCTACAAAAATTGAAGATGGCGGACATTTCATTCCTTTCGATAAAAATGTTTGTAGAAGTAAGCAAGATATGGAAAAAAAAGGGAAAAAGAGTATTATATATAGTCTTAAAAGTTTTTTCAAATGAGAAAAGAAAAAATATATTGTCATTTCCCTTTAATGGGGGATTTCTAGTGTCTTTAATACTGAACAGAAATTAACTGAGATTTTTAACCCAAAACATGATTGGGCTTGATGCGCTATTACTGCAAAATGGGTTAGCGTTATGCCTATGACATGAACACACGTCTACATTTTTGTGCTTAAATTT